AACATGAACTAAAATAGTCCTAAAACAACAGAGCACATTCCCATTAGGATAAATTACTCAGACCTCTTCAAGGCAGGAAAGAATTCCCTGGAGGAAAATCTGTCACTGCTGTTCCACCTGCACTGTGTCTATTTCCCAGTGGACTCTGCTGCAGCTGGAAGCCTCCCTCTGGATGGGGCAGCTGTTCCATATTGAATTTGCTCCATTTTGAGAGCTGTGGGCCCTGGTGGGGGGGGTGGGCGCGAAGCAGACCACCAGGCAGTCAGGAGAAACTAGATGGGCCAGACCCTCCGTAGCTGTGCCTGCCTGCAAAACATTTCATCCCACTTGTTCTGATTTTGCATCTTCTAAGTGAACATTTAATGGTTTGTTGTTTGCTTTAGTATAAGGAAGAATGGGACAATAAGCTGTGTTGTGTTTATTTAAGAAGCTGGGCTTTGGAATCACCCAGACTTGGCTTTCCCCTTTGGAGGCAAATGACCTTGCCCACTTCTTTCATCTCTCAGGCTCAACATCTGTAAAGTGATGAACTCAGTAGTACCATCTCAGAATTAATGCCCAGTAAATGTTGGCTATTGCTACCCAGAGTTTCCTGGCTCTGCACATTAGACACTCATTCCCCCACATACACACCTCAGCCTTGGGATTCCTAGTAGAGCATACTTTTCTTTTCACCGGGTCTCTATCTTTTGTTTGTGTGTGTGAACTCTGTATATTAGCAGGAAGGAGCCAGCTAACAAGACAGACATGAAAAAAATCCACTTGTCTATTCATCAAGAATGAAATGAGGTTTAAAACTAGAGCTATATAAATACATGTATTTACTTTTTTAGCCTTTCTTTGCTTGGTTGTAATTTTTCATATCCAGTTGGTAAAGGTCATAGATGGTGGGACTCATTTCTGTACCCTCCAGGTAACTTTGTTTGGTACTAAACATAATAACTAGCACTTGTTATGTGGTAGGGGAAAGGATGGGAATAAAGGATTTAAAATGAATCCCAATAGCTTTCTCCTCCCTTCCTTTCTTTCTCTATCCTTTTTTTTTTTTT